ATGTATCTTTSTCTGGTTTTGTATGAGGGTAATATTGGCTTCATAGAATAAGTTTGGAAGGGTTCCTTTCTTCTCATCACTGGATAGATCTTCCAAACAAAAACTGAATAAAGAAGCTGTAGAACTAAAAAATACAATTAATAATTTAGATTTAACACAAAAATAGAATATTTCATCCATCAGTGTCTGAATATATTTTTTCTCAGTTGCACATGGAACATTTTTCAAAAATAGGTCATATTTTAGGACACAAAATAATTCTTAGCAAATACAAAAGAATAGAGATAATATCCTGTGTTATATCAGATCATAATGGAACGAAATTAAAAAGTCAACGATAAGATAAAAATAAAAATTACTCTTAACACCTGGACACAACATAAATCTCGTRATGTCTTTTAACATATATACATATTGTTTTTTCTCCTCTCTTTCCTGAATTTCTTATTAACCAGCAATTAAATCTAGAGATTAAATGCTACTGTGGTTTGGCACCCCTTCTCCAAACACTTTATGGATGGTAGTATTATGTGGTTGTATGGTTGTATGTACTTTTTTTGTGCCATTGGAATTGATCTTTGGGTTTAGGTTTTGGGTCCCGATTCTTCCATTGTATGTTCCCCATTAACTTTTTTCCTGATGGTTTTATTTTATAGCTTATGGTGATCATTTCCTCAATTTATTATTTCATTAGGTCGTACAAAATGGGGATATTCTAATATTTTCACTTTAATGCATTTATTAACTGGAATTTTAAAATAAGGAATAGTTTTATTATCACATCTTTGGTTACCCTGGCACATAATCTATGTGGGAAGGACAGTGTTTTTTAAAAAACAGTTTGCAGAATAATGGTTTATGTCTCCAATTTCCTCCAGAGATAAGTAGTCAAGGATTTTTTCCCTTCTTTTTCTGAGTATCATTATAAAGTTAGGAATTTTAACCTGTTTCTTAAATTTAAAAATTAGCTTATCCATTTTTACAAGTACTTAAAAAAAACCTGCAAGCTTTTGATTAAGATTGCATTTGAATCTGTATATAAATTTAGAGAGAATTGACATCCAAATAATATTAGCCTCCTAATCCATGAATGTGCTATGTATGTCCTGCTGAGATTTTCTCTAATTTCTGTCAGTAATGTTTTAAACCTAGTTGCTTTTCATTTATTGGCCTTGTAGCTTAGCTTGCAGGTTTGATAAACATTGATTTTTGTGTTATCTGAAGTAGAAACAGTTTTGTTGCTTTTTTTTCCCAATATTTATATTGGTCCTTCTTTTCCTGCCCTGTTGCAGTGTTGAACAGGAGTGGTGAGAATGGGTACTCTCTCCTGTCTCCCAAATTTGTAATGGACAGCTTTCCATTTCCTGCCCCTTCCCAGTGGGACCCAGTCCCTGCTATGTATCAGTGCAGGATCCCTAATCCAGTGAAAGATGGTATTTTGCTCTCCATTGCTTCCCTCTCTTATAGTACCTCTTCTGGAATTGGTGCCAGGAGGTTGTGCTGACCTGCTCTATGGTAGACTTTTATTACTAGGTGCAAAGCCTGGAGAGAACAAGGGAGGTTTCCTCTTCCACCCMCTAGGTCAGATAGATAGCTCTTGCCTCTGCCTTCTTCTGAGTGCAGGTTCCCCTTGCCTTTCAGGGCTTTGCAAGGCTGAAAGRTTTCCTTACCCTTTCCCAGTATAGTTTAGTTGTGCTGTTTTTTTAATGTTATACAGAAGAAATYATACCATATACATTCTTTTTATATCTGATTTCTTTCACTCRGTGTCATGTTTTTAAGATCCAGCCATGATTTCATGGTTAGTTATTTTTTGTTYATTTTCATTGCTTATTAATGTTCCAATATGTGAATTTGCCACAGAATTTGTCTAAGTATTATTTTTATGGTTTCCAGTTCTTAGCAGTTACAAATAGTGCAGCTACAAATAAATTGTGTATGTCCTGATGCAATTAGACACAAATTTCTGTAGAACACTGATATTTATTTATTTATTATTTTTAACCTGTGAAAGGTATTTGTGAGTTTTTAAAAATTTGTTCTTTTTAGATAGATATATATGACATTGGAGTGTATTTTGACATAGTGTGCTGATTTTAAGTTCTTTGGGTGTATTTGACAAGGAGTATAATTTATTAGGATTCCATTCTTGTAATTGTACATGATGTGGAGTTTCACTGGTCATGAATTTATATATGAATGTGAGAAAGTTATATCCATTCTACCGTCTTTCCTATTCCCATCCCCCTCCCTGTCCTTCCCTCCACTTTGACTAATCCAGTGAACTTCTATTCTTTGGGGATGGGCATTGCATATCAGAGAGAACATTTGGCCTTTTTTGAGACTGGCTTGTTTCACTTAGTATGATGGTCTCTAGTTCTGTCTATTTAATATGGATAAATTAAAATGCCATAATTTCATTCTTCTTTCTGGCTGAGTAAATACTCAATTGTGTATATATACCACATTTTCTTTATACATTCATCTGTTGAAGGGCACCTAGTTTGACTTCATAGTTTATGGTCTATTGTGAATTGAGCTGCTGTAAACATTGATGTGTCTGTCACTGTAGAATGCTCATTTTAATTCCCTTGGATATATTCCAAGGAGTGGAATAACTGGGTCAAGTGGTGGTTCCATTCCAGGTTTTCTATGGAATCTCCATACTGTTTTCCAGAGTGATTACACTGATACACAGTCCCACCATCAGTGTATGTGGGTACCCTTTTCCCCATACTCACCAACATTTATTGTTACTTGTATTCTTTTTTTTAATTAGTTAATTTTACAGTAGAATGCATTTTGATATATAGTACACAAGTAGAGCACAACTTCTCATTCCTCTGGCTGTATATGGTTCAGAGTCACTCCAGTAGTGTAATCATATATGTATATTAGGGTAATAATGTGTGTCTCTTTCTACYATCCTTCCCATCTCCACAACCCCACCCCTCCCCTAACTCCCCTCTATACAAACCCAGAGTTCCTTCATTCTTCCCTATTCCCCCACTCCACTATGAATCAGCATCTGCTTATCAGATAAAACATTCAGCTTTTGTTTTTTTGGAATTTCCTTATTTCACTTAGTGTGATATTCTCAAGTTCCATCTATTTACCTGCAAATGCCATAATTTTCATTTTTCTTTAATGCTAAGTAATATTCCATCATTATGTACATTATTATATAAAGAATATGTACCACATTTTCTTTATCCATTCATCTGTAGAAGGGCATCTACGTTGTTTCCATAGTTTAGCTATTGTGTATTGAGCTGCTATGAAYATTGATGTGGCTATGTCACCATAGTATGCTGATTTTAAGTCCTTTGGGTATAAACCAAGGAGTGGGTTAGCTGGGTAAAATGATGGATTCATTCCAAGTTTTTTGAGGTATTTCCATACTGCTTTCCATAGTGGTTGCACCAATTTTCAGTCTACCAGCAATATATGAATGTACCTTTCCCCCCCCCATCCTTGCCAACACTTATTATTGCTTATATTCTTGATAATTGCCATTCTGACTAAGTAGTTTTGATTTTCATTTCTCTAATTGCTAGAGATGATGAACATTTTTTCATATGTTTGTTGATTGATTATATTTCTTCTGTAAAGTGTCTGTTCCGTTCCTTAGCCCATTTATTATTTGTTTTTTTGGTGTTAAGTTTTTTGAGTTCTTTATATATCCTGAAGATGCATGCTCTATCTTTGCAGGTGGCAAAGATTTTCTCCCATTCAGTAGGCTCTCTTTTTCACATTTTTTTTTCTGTAATTGTAGATGGACAGCATGCCTTTATTTTATTGGTTTATTTTTTAATGTGGTGCTAAGGATCAAACCAGTGCCTCACACATGCTAGGCAAGTGCTCTGCCACTGAGCCCCAGCCTCTCTGTTCACATTCTTGATTGTTTCCTTTGCAGTGAAGAAGCTTTTTAGTTTGATACCATCCCATCTATTGATTACTGATTTTAACTCGTGTGCTTTAGGAGTCTTGATGAGTAATTAGGTCCTAAGCTAACATGTTCGAGTGTTGGGCCTACTTTTTCTTATAGTAGGTGCAGGGTCTTTGGTCTGATGCCTAGGTCCTTGATCCATGTTCAGTTGAGTTTTGTGTTGGGTGAGAGATAGGGTTTTCATTTCATTCTGCAACATATGGATTTCCAATTTTCCCAGCAGCATTTGTTGAAGATGCTATCTTTTTTCCAGTGTATGTTTCTGGCACCTTATTTATGTAGGTTTGTCACTAAGAATACTGATTCTTAAAGTGCCCCTTCCTTCCAGCTGCTCTGACTTCTCCTGGGTACTTGTTAGAAATGCAGATTATTAGTCTCTACCCTAGACTTACTGAGTCACAAACTGTAAGGGTGGGGCTAGCACTTTGTGTTTTAATAGTCCTCCGAATGGTTACGACCCTTCTAAAGTTTGAGAACTACTGCTGTAGGGGCTACACCTAGGAGAGAAGCTACTGGATATAAATGATGGGTAAATAATGGCAGGTTGTTTTCTAACTGGTTTGTATTTTTACCAGTGTTACAGGAAAGTTCAAGTGGCTCTACATCTTTAGTTTCATTAACTTTCAATTGGTAACCCCCCCCACACACACACACTCTTTTTTTTGGTTTGAATGTTTTTATTTATAAAATTAAAAATTAGGTCTCTAGTCAGTGAAGTCTAAACAACTGGAAGTGACTAGTTTAAAGGTGTCTCTGAGTGCAGGATGATCTCACCATCTTTGCTCTCCACTGTAGTGTCAGGCATATAGAAAATCATGTATGTATCTATCAAACTGAATTTTAAAATACATATTTTTAAGAGTTTCTTTGTCTTTTTTATTTTAAAAACAAAGCTTCAGAGTTTATTGAAATAGCCCTGAAGGGTTGTGTGTAGAGCCCCATGGTAGAGGTGCTGGCTGGCATGTGGGCGGTCCTGGGTTCAGTCTTCAACACTGTTTTGCTTTTTGAAAAATCATCATGTACTTTTCTTTCCTTTTCTTTTTTCTTTTAGCTTTTATCTCTTCTTTTTGAAGATTTGTTCAAAAAATTTAATTCTGAAATGAAGAAGATTGCAGACCAGGTGATTCCTAAACAAAGAGCAGCCCAGTTTGACGTTGTGAAACACATGCGCCAAGACCAGATCACCAATGGCATGGTGAATGCCATTTCCACTGTAAGTCTTCTTTTAGGATTTTGGAGTTTGTGAATTTATTCAGTGAAATGGAGATATAAAGGACTTCAAAAACCTAGGTGTTGTGTGTGTGTGTGTGTGTATGTGTGTTTGTGTTTGTGTATGAATTTAAAGGAATGTACAAATAAAAAATTTTCTGCTTTGGAAAACATAGTCTAAAGTGTAAATTGTCTAATAGTTTAATACTGTAGTAACCTGAAAGTTTAATACAGTAGTAACCTCCCTCAGCTGTGGGTTTTGCTTTCCATGCTTTGTTTCATTTACTCGTCTTCAACTGATATCTGAAAATATTAAATGGAAAATTCCAGAAATAAAAAATTTATAAGTTTTAAATAACTTTTATTACCATATATTTTAATTTTCAAATTTTATTGTTAGTTATTATTGTTTACCTCTTACTGGCCTAACTTACAAAACAAACTTCATCATAGGTTACTTATGTATAGAAAACAAATAGGATGTATAGGGTTCTGTGCTTTCTGCAGTTTCAGACATCTACCAGGGTCTTAGAATGTATCATGACTACTGGTAACTTTCCTGCCAAATTATACTTCCTTCTGTATAAGACAAAAAGAAAATAGATAACACATGGAGGGAAAAATTCTTCTCTTTAAACTATTAATAACCTTTCTTTTAATAACMTTTTCTTTTAACTTTCTTTTTTGTATAATAAAATTGATGTATTTCAGGCAGGTTTATTATTTGGCAAGTTTTGTCCAAAACAATACAAAAGTGTTTCATTTCACATTCAACCTAATGTTTCATTTAGCTTATATTCTTCAGAGACCTATCAGCTGTTCCTTTCCTRAGCAATGAATTCAGTCCTCAGCAGCTGCTGTGTATTCAGGGTCTCCAGCTATTCACCAAAGGTTATCAGATAGGTTTTTGCTCCCATTTTTGAAGCATAGCAACTATAGGTCTATCTGATGAAGTCTGGTTCACATTTTTGATGCCAGACATACAATTAGTTTTATGGATGGGATCTTGTCCCAACAAAAGGGTAGTGTAGCCCAACACAATGATTCCCGTAACAATGAGAGAATGAGTGCAGACGTGCTTCAGTAGTTGACTTTGGAAATTTCCAGTGGTCTGTGTGAGCAGCACCTATAGTGATAGCTGCACCTAAAGTGGAGGTGCACCCTGCCTCTGTGCCATTTAGGCTCTTTAAGCATGCTTTTGTGAGAACTGCTTTTCCTTGCTTCCTGACCCATTTTTTTTTAGGTCACAACAGCTGTTTGGAATAGTTTTTTTGCTGAGTGGCTTTGCTTTACCTCCCTGACAGGGCTGCTTATTAAGAAAATTAGTAGTAGGCTTTGTGGCAGGTATACCCCAATATGAAGGCGACCAGGAAAGATGAACTTATAATGTTCTGTAGTGTTGCTTTAGTAGAATTCTTAATATTTTTAGACTCTTTGACTATTTCTCCCTTTTGTAAAAAACCTGTAGAATACTGGGACAAATTCTCATGCTGCACATCTTGGCTTCACTCCCCACCTACTTYCTGATTGCTATCAGCTGCTGCCTTATTTTTAGCTTTCTACCAAATATTTTTTTACCTTATTTATTCTTATATTATATTATATTATATTTATTCTTAATTTTTTCCTTATTTATTCTGTCTGGGCATAAGTTAGTTTACCAGATTCTTTCTCATTTCAAGGATGAATGGAGTTACCTAAGTGAGCAATATAAATAAGTTAATTTGTGAAATTTGTGTATTTGCTCTGTTTCCTTGTTTTATAATAGAATTTCTTCTTAGAATTAATTCTTTTCCACATTATCAAAAACTCAAGGGTTTGAAGTGATGGACCTTTGTTGTAATGAAGAGAAAACTTCAATTTGTGAAGGGGCTCCAGCGAAGTCATATATTTCAATATGAACAGATCACTTAATATCTTTTTGTAGCCATGCAATTTATCTACTATGAAGGTGTCTAAGCTGGGATCCAGAAGTCTGCTCCTGAAATTTGAGTGTCAGATTTTGTGTTCATAGTATTTTGTACATTTTTCTCAAGAAAATATTTGTAGTTGTCATCAGGTTCTTTTTAAAAAATTGGTTCTTTTTAGTTATACATGACAGTAGAATCCATTTTGAYATAATTATACAAGCCTGGAATGTATCTTTAACTAATTAGGACCCCATTCTTGTGGATGTACATGATGGTGGGATTCACTGTGGTATATTCATATATGAATATAGGAAAATTATGTTAGGTTCACTCCACTCTTTTCCTATCCCCACTTCCTTCCCTTCATTCCCCTTTATCTAATCTACAGAACTTCTGTGTTTCCCCCTCCTTCCCTTATTGTGAGTCAGCTTCCACATATCAGTGAAAATATTCAACCTTTGGTTTTTTGGGATTGATTTATTTTACTTAGCATAATAGACATAAAATAATTCTTACTTGCTATAATACTGATGTGTATATATGCCACATTTTCTTTATCCATTCATCTGTTGAAGGGCGTCTAGGTTGGCTCCATAGTTTAGCTATTGTGAATTGGGCTGCTATAAACATTGATGCATCTGTGTCATATAGTATGCTGATTTTAACTCCCTTGGATATATTCCAAGGAGTGGGATAGTTGAGTCAAATGGTGGCTCCATTCCAAGTTTTCTGAGCAATCTCCATACTATTTTCTAGAGTGGTCACACCAATTTACAGTCCCACCAACAATGTATGACTGTATCCATTTCCCCACATCTTCACCCACATTTATTGTTACTAGTATTCTTTATATATATACACACACACACAACACACACACACACACACACACACACACACACACACACACACACACCAGGAATTGAACTCAGGGGCACTTGGCCACTGAACCCTCTTCAGCCCTATTTTGTATTTTATTTAGAGACAGGGACTCACTGAGTTGCTTAGCACCTTGCTGTTACTAAGGCTGTCTCTGAACTTGCCATCCTCCTATCTCAGCCTCCCAAGCCACTGGGATTTCAGGCTTGCACTACAGCGCTCAGCTTGTTACTTGTATTCTTCATAATTGCCATTCTAACTGGAGTGAAATGAAATCTCAGTATAGTTTTAATTTACTAGAGATGTGGAGCATTTTTTCATATATTTGTTGATKACTCATATTTTTTCTGTGAAGTGACTGTTTAGTTCTTTTGCCCATTATAGATTGGGTTATTTAGTTTTATTTTGGTATTAAGGTTTTTAAGTTCTTTATATATCCTGTTAGAGGGGCAGGTAGCAAGATTTTCTCCCATTCTGTAGACGCTCTCTTCATGCTCTTGTTTATTTTCTTTGCTGTGACAAAAGCTTTTTAGTTTTATGCCATCCCATTATCGATTTTACTTCTTGCTCTTTAGGGGTCTTGTTAAGAAAGTCAGTTCTTGTGCCTGTATGTTAAAGAAGTCAGTTCCTATGCCTTTATGTTGGAGTATTGGGCCTACGTTTTATTCTAATATGTGTAGGGTTTCTGGTCTAATACCTAGGTCCACTTTGATCTGAGTTTTGTGCAGGGTGGGAGGTAGGGGTTAACTTTCATTCTATTACATGTGGATTTCCAGTTTTCTCAGCAGCATTTGTGGAAGAGGCTGTCTTTCCTCCAATGTTTATTATTGGTACTTTTGTCTAATATGAGGTAACTGTATTTCTGTGGTTTTGTCTCTGTGTCTTCTATTCTGTCTGGCCTGTTTGAGTGCCAGTACCATGCTGTTTTTCTTACTGTAGTTCGTAGTATTATTTAAGGTCTGGTATTGTCATGGCTCCTGCATCGCTTTTCTCACTAAGGATTCCTTTGTCTGTTCTTGGCCTCTTTAGTTTTCCAAATGAATTTCATGTCATCAGGTTTTTCAAGGAGAAAGAAGAATCACTTCAGATATAGTTTTTCTCTATGGAATCAGAAAGATAATTGAGCCAACCATTTTCTTGGATATTTTGTTTTCTGCTTTGCTTTTTTGATGCATATTATTTTTTGTTAATTGAATTATATTTGGGGGATATAATTTAATGTGTACAGCTATAATCCAACTATAAAATAATATATTTAATGTACTATGACATATTTATTGCATAGGATTTAAGCAAATTTAATTTTCAAGAGTCATTTATATGAATCTATTCCACTATTGGCATGATAGCCACAGAGAATATACAGCGTTTAATATGAACATATGTAATTTTTTGGGCTGGGGATGTGGCTCAAGCAGTAGCGAGCTCACCTGGCATGCGTGCCGCCTGGGTTCGATCCCCAGCACCACATACAAATAAAGATGTTGTGGCACCTAAAACTAAAAAATAAATATTAAAAAATTCTCTCTCCTCTCTCTCTCTCTCTCTCTCTCTTTTTAAAAAATATATGAACATATATAATTTTTTGATTCCTCAGACCTGATGAAGAAAGCTACAGTGTATTCATTATTCCTAATAACTGCTATGAGTCATTTTTCTGTTGCTGTATTTTCCTCTAATTAAGACTAACTTTGGAAGACATCCAAATAATAGTGTATTCCAACATGAAATTATCTCTTTGAGCTTCAAACTCATTTTACCTTTGATCAGCTGACTTATTGCTTCCAGTGGACACTTGGGTTAAACTGACATGTTCCACGTGTGAGTTTTTCAGATGATGACTACACTGACATGATAGGGTTGAAAGAGTGAAGCATTCTGAGATGGTTGCTGGACATAGTTTGTGTTCATCAGATTCCTGGAAAACCTCAGCAAGTAGCTGCATAAGTTTTAATTTTAATTGTGACATTTTGATTTAGAAATAAATATCCTGGCTTTAATTTCATGAGCAAGCAGTTCCTATTCTGAACTTCTCAGAGTGACTCCTCAGATTCAGGCAGCATATGAAAGGGTTACTGGTAGTCTCATGTCTGTCATTTTTCTACAGGGAAATTGGTCTCTAAAGAGATTTAAAATGGACCGTCAAGGTGTGACCCAAGTCTTGTCACGCTTGTCATACATATCTGCACTGGGCATGATGACAAGAATCTCTTCCCAGTTTGAAAAAACCAGGAAAGTGAGTGGTCCTCGCTCCCTCCAGCCATCTCAGTGGGGAATGCTCTGTCCTTCGGACACTCCTGAAGGAGAGGTAAGGCACCTGTGTACAGTGTCAGAGGACATACTTGTTGGAGTCTGGGGCTGGGGATTCTGCTTCTGCTGTCATTCTCTAGCCCATGTCTTTTTCTTAGATTAACCACTTATCTGGCAAGAAATAATGATGTAATTTGTTAAGACTATATCAATATCATTCCAAAACCAGTGTCTGCAGAAGCATTTGATAAAGAAATTTATGGTCCACATTGATTTTGCCTATTATAGTTTATCCCAAGAACCAGTCATATGAAGAGGGGATTAGAATGTGAAAGACAATTGAGAGACCCATCACTTTTGATGCTCAAATGGATCTCTTTTTGAGTAGCTTTTTATTTCTTTCAGATGTGCTTAGAGGACATTGTGTACTCAGGTGTAACTAACTAAGCRCGTAGTCCAAAACCTGATAATTCTGACTCACTTAGCACCGTTACCTAAATGCCAAACAAAGGGGCTTACTCCCATTCCTCCCTGTGACATGGCCCCTTTCTCCTTTGCATTACCATTGTTAGTTTCTCTTGCTTCCATTTCTTTTAAATCAAACCTCCAAAGAAGGAAGGTTTACCATTGTACCTCAGGCTCCTAACATAGAGCCTCATTTAGAATGGAGGCTCCATAAATATATACTGAATAAATAAATAAGTTAATTTATGACCAGTAAAAAAATGTCAATTCCAAAATATATCAAATGTTATGATTTTTTTTTCTAAAGAGAGAGAGAGAGAGAGAGAGAGAGAGAGAGAGAATGTTTTAATATTTATTTTTCAGTACTTGGCGGACACAACATCTTTGTTTGTATGTGGTGCTGAGGATCGAACCCCGGGCCGCTCGCATGCCAGGCGAGCGCGCTACCGCTTGAGCCACATCCCCAGCCCCAAATGTTATGATTTGAGAGGGGTAGAAAATAGGATTCTATGCACTTGTGATTTTTAAAAACTCTTCTCCCAGTATGGTAACTCACATAAATTGGTACAGTTTTTCAAATTTGCATGAGTTAAACATCTTGAGCTTTGGAGCACTGTGTTTTTCAGAGATTCCTTCAGCTAACTTTATTAAGTGGCTAAGTGGCTGCTTTGTGCATATAGAAAATAGTTTCCAAGAATTGAAGTTACAGTCTTTAGGTGTCACCCATGTCCTGAGTGTTTTCTGCTTTTGCTATGTTTTTTCGTATTGATACTTTTGTTGTAGATTTTTGGGGTTGTATAAAAGTCGAAAAGTTCTTGTTATTTTTTTATCATGAAATAATTTGATATACAAAAAATTGCAAAAATAGTACAAAGACTTTTCATAATCTTACATCTAGATTCCCCAATGTGAGCATTTTATGTAATCTTATCACAGTTATTGACCTCATGAAATCAACATAAGTGACAATGCCATAGACTGTAGACCTTGTTCAGATTTCCCCCAGTTGTCCCAACAATGTCTGTTTCTGATCCAGCTCATGTGTTGCTTTAGTCACCATGCCTCCTGAGTCCCTTTCAGTCTGGAGCAGTCCTTTAGTCTTTCTTTGCCTCTCATGAGCAAAAAACTTTATAGAGTTCTGGCCAGTTATTCTGTAGAAAGTCTCTCTTTTTCTGCCAGAAGTTTTCTGTTTTTGTGTAGCTAGATTTATTATTGTTTTTCTTTACTCTTTTCCTATATTATATCATTATAATGACTTTGATATTCCACTCTCTGGGAAAAATAGTTTCTATAATGTTTCTTTCCYTTTTTTGTATATTTATGATATCATTATCTGTAATTGCAAATATACTGTGCTGAGCATTTATGTGGCTACATCTATTTTACATCCTTTCTTGTTACCTGAGTATAAATTTCTCTGGGCAAAAGGACATGTACATTTTAAGTTCTTTTTGTAAATTACCAAAATTTCCATTACGAGGTTATACTGCTTTATATTGCCACCAGCAGAGTAGTGAGCTATTTTCAGACACACACTGTACTAATATTCATTCTTAGAAATGATTGTCTTATGTTTTAGGCCTGCGGTTTGGTTAAAAATTTGGCCCTTATGACACACATCACAACTGATATGGAAGATGGACCCATTGTTAAATTAGCCAGTAACTTGGGAGTAGAAGATGTGAATTTATTATGTGGAGAAGAACTCTCTTATCCAAATGTGTTTCTCGTCTTTCTCAATGGTGGGTATATTATAGAGACATGTTCATCCTTAATAACCTGTTGGGAGTAGGGAAGGAGTCAATTAATATCCTTATATTTAAATCACAAACATATTCTAACTCTGGGCCTAGAAGGACCTTGATTTAAAGGTGGAAGGAAGACAGTGATTCTACTGGTTGAATTATCCAAAGTTCTGAGAGGACACAGCTGTGTGAGTGAAGGATAACATTGCAAAGACTGACTGCTTTCTCCCTCTTGCAGCTGCTAACATATTTACAGTGGAATAACATTCAGCAGGGTACCTTAAATATCTGAGTCGCCCTGTAAAATAACCAGGTCAGCCCTTATAGCGAGTTGAATGTATTCAGCCATTTGATCCTTGGTATGTTAGCAGCCTGTGGCAAGAAGTTCCCCCTCTTCTGACCCACTTTCATATACGTCTTCCTGCCTCCTTCAGAGCCCACCAGAGGCTGGGCAGTAGTGTGCCTGTCCTTTCTCCTTTTGACTTGGTGGTTTGTGTGCCTGCCTGATGTGCTCACCCCTGACCACTTAGGTCATGTCCTTCTCTTCTCCCCAATTAGGGATCCACTAACCCTTGCAGGTAGGGCCTGCCAGGACCTCAACAGGGCTGTTAAACTATCTACCTTCTCCAGTGAATCCAAGAAACTAACAGTGCATGAACTCTTGGCCTGCACTCTGTCCTGGTGCCTCTGAATCCTCTTGAAAATGGGAGGAAAGCCCAGTGTCTTCGTTTCATAGATGCTGAGCAGATGAGCAGTCACTAGGTGTGGGGCAGAATCCTCAGCACTTTCAACTCATTCATTTTCTTAGTCTCCCCGTGGAAGTGATAGAGCCAGTGGGCACACGCTGGTGGTGTGGACCCACATGTACACTCACAGCACTGTGCTCCCAGATGAGAACAGTGAAATTCACTTGCACTGCTCCTCAGCCAGTGTGTGATAGGACTGACCCTGGATTCCAGGGCCCYAGGATGACCTTGACCGTTCCCTGTGCTGCTTCCCTCAGCCTATGGATGGCCACATGTTAATAACTATTTTCAAATGACTATTCAGTATTCCTGTGTTCGGTAAAAATTTTATATGAGATTAGGTTTATATTTTGTTCCTGTCTTACCTCTTCTTACTTCTTTTACTTCTTTTGCTTAGGTAACATTCTGGGTGTCATTCGAGATCATAAAAAGCTAGTGAATACATTTCGACTGATGCGAAGAGCAGGATATATCAATGAATTTGTTTCCATCTCAACAAATCTTACAGATCGGTGTGTTTATATTTCCTCTGATGGAGGAAGACTGTGCAGGTATATATTGCTAGAAGAGTCACTTTATATTAACTTTTGAAATAAATTGACTTATTTTTGAAGCTTCTTTTTCCTGCTTCAATGTTAAGATACATTTAATTCAGTTAATAAACATTTCAAAGATTAATGGGAGACCATTGTTGCCCTCAGAGAGTTCAGTCTGCTGGGAGAGGAGAAATAATTATTATTAATGATAATCAACTGTACTATTAATAAATGTTAGTCACTACTTATTATTTTAATGGATATACTTATATTTAAGGCTCTAACTACATTCAACCCTATGAGGTTGAATTATTGTTTGCATTTAGCAAATGAGGAAATTGGGGTATTCCATGAAGTATTCCAGAGTAACTTACCCAGAGCTAGAGAATGGTGGAGTCAAGTTTTTAATGGAAATTCCTTAGACGTCCCTTGACTCTAACAGTCATGATTTTACCCTCTGTATTCCACTGCTACAAACTGCTTTAAAAGATTAATAGGATTGTGTTACTTGGGTATAGGGGAAATGAAGAAAGGCTGAGGAAAAGCAAGAATTTAAAAAATTACATTAGAACTAATGGAAAGTAGGTTAATATTGTTCATTCAGCAAATATTTATTAAGGATTTGTTATGCACAGATATTGTCCAGCAGCTGGAGGTATAGTGATGAATATGATATATTATCTGGTCTTTGGGGGACATGCAGGGGCATCTGTTGAGGTCGTTATGGTGTTTCAGAAGCCTTCACTTATTTTCTAGTTGTAATTTTTCAACTCCTGATGATGTTAGGAATAAGGCAGTGAGCTAGCGATAGTTGGAAAGCAGAACTGGAAGAGCGGACTGCCATTGTCTGTCTGTCCCTCATCCTTTCCTCCTTTTAGTTATACTATATTCTCCTTTGGGGACTGCCCCTCCCTACTGCATACAGTGTGAAGGCTTTCCTTGCCTAGCAAAAGGTCAGGTATGAGATCCAAGTGAGGCCAGTCATACTTCCTCATCAGATTCATCAGTTCAATTCAAGTAGAATAAATCAAGGGAGGCAAGTAGTTGAYATGCTGCCAGTGACCCATGCAAAAGTTTCCCTATTACTCCTTTCTTTCTGGATCCTTGTAGCTGCTGTGATTCCTGTTCTTTCTATGCCTAAGCATTTCTCCTTTTTCTTTGATTCTTGTCCGTCCAGTAAATTCTTAGTTTTTCCAGTAAATTCCATGTTGCTTAAATTAGCAAGAATAAGTTTCTCTTAAATATACCCGAGAATGATATGTGTTCAATCTTATCTTGCCAGTTATTGATTTGTGTGACTCTGAGTATAATATACAAGTCTGAGCCTTGGTTTCCTTGGCTGTAAAATGGAAATAGTAAAGCCTTCCTAGGATTATCCTGAGAATAACTGGCAAGGTGTGGTAAGTTCTTGTAGGGTGCTAATCACATATAATGTGCTTAACAACATGGCCTCATTAGTGGCAGGAAAAACAATGACATGTTCCAGATTGGCTTTTTAAATGATTTTTCTCTTTCATTACATTCAGCATAATAAAGCATATTCTAAAACAAAACAAGTTTTTTTTTTTAGCAGTAATTTTACAATGACAGGCAATAGATATGGCAGGAAAAATAGTGGGCTTTATTGAGTTAGTGATCTCTCTCTTCAATTCCTGTGTCTGCCTTCACTTCTGAGTCTTAACCTGAGCTATGCTGCAGCCCTCCCATGTGACATCAGGTAACTCTGCTTCCCTCCAGTGAATAAGCCAGAATTTCAAGGTACTGTTGATTTCCATGAAAAGCTCACCCAGTTCACTTTTCAGCAGCTCATGTTCCCCTTTTGTGATTATGCAGATCCTCTTCTTAACAGTTTAAAGTGCTCATTAGTCCTCACATAGTTATTTGGGCTTCAGGGTGCAGTGCACAAGTGTCGGCTGGTTTCTTGCTTCTCTATGTGAGAGCTGCTGTCCAAATAGCAACGGCCCTTGACGTTTCCATGCTGCATGCCATCCTTTGTGTCAGTGTTTCCTCGCAGTGGCKAAGCCCTCATCGGCAAGTCACCACTGACAGTTACAGGTTAATCTACCCAAGTGCTCTCTCTACCTTCCACCCAGTATGCCAGTGCAGATCATGGAGTAAGGAAGCCTCATTCTTTGCAAAAGTAGAGCCACTTGATTTTGTCAAGAATAAAGTAACCTATTAGTCTATCTCAGTGATGCATATCCTAAATCAGACCGTTCAGAACATCTGGGTATTCATCATCACATCCTCACAACAAATGCCATCATTACCCTTGGTGACAGTGTTTGTTGCCAGCTAGCTTTATGGGTTTACAGCAGTTTCCCCTTACTTGTGAGTGGCGTGTTCTAAGACCCTCTGATACATTTAGAGTTTTAAAAATTATGACATGTGACATAAAGTTTTCATTTCCTTTCTAGACTTTGTTGAGTATCGTTTTTGTGTTGCCTTTTCATTTAAAACTGTGTGTATGTGTGTGGTGTGCATTTGTGTTTGAGAGAACACCTGTGTGCATGCAGGTAGAGGCCCCTGTATGGTCACATATGCCAAAATTAGTGTTCTCAAGCAAACTGTATAACTTTGATCATTTCTACATTTTCCCTTATTTCATTATAACAGATATTATTTGCTGGTATAACTCTTCTGTGAAATTACTATTAAGTTGTTATTTTTTTCCTTCCTAGACCTTACATAATTGTTAAGAAACAGAAGCCAGCAGTCACAAATAAGCATATGGAAGAGCTGGCTCAGGGGTACAGGTAAAAATAATGTTATTTGATTTGTTGTTCTTTTAAGAAAAGTACATTTTCATTTTTGATCTCTTAATTCCTCCCCATCAAATGTACCAGTCTGTTTAAAAAAAAATGTTTTTTTCTCCATATGAAGTTGTTTGGACATGGTAAAATACTTACCAGGTTAAATTGAAAGTCTTGGTGTAAATTTCTACACTAATAGCTTTTAGTGAGAAAAGAACTTACATTGATGTATATACTGTGGGTCTTTCATTATGTGGAGTTTCTGAAGTCAAATATTTTAGAAGTGAAAACCATATTAGCAAAAATCAGATACATTAATGTTTTTATCTCAGTGATTTGTGATCACACCGTGATTCAAGAATAACCTGTTTCAAGTATCTCAGTATATTAATTCTGGGAGAGAAAGTGCCTTGGGCCAAGTGAAAGCCAGTATCTTCTGTTGTTATATAAAATGTTTCAATAAAATGCTCTTTTATAATGTCCCTTTTTATCATTATTTTCCCAGGAATTTTGAAGATTTCTTACATGAGAGTCTGGTAGAATATTTAGATGTGAATGAAGAAAATGATTGTAACATTGCACTCTATGAACATACAATTAATAAGTAAGTAGAATCTGTAGCACTTTAATTAAAACCTTTTCTGACCATAGACACTGCCTTCTTTCCATTGTCCTCCCATTCTGTCGTGTACTCCTATAGTAGAAAACTRTTAGAGGTGCACTGTTGTGTCGTGAAGCATACCTGTGACTGTCCCAATCGAAGGTACCACGAGGTTGCTAACAAGTCATCTTTAGACTTATCTTTCCAGGCCGTGTGGCATTTAGTGTGTGTTTTTCTGAAAGAAATCATTTTTCTGATTTTAACATTCAATTACTGTAAAAATTGAAGTAATTAATCGGGCTACATGAAAATGGATTTCTTTCCTCTAGAAAGAATTTTATCAGTGGACATCTGAATTCTTACTGTCAGAGCAGGAATTCCCTATAAAGATATCTCTAAGCATGAGATGAACTTGAGATGGTAATATGCTCATAGTGTTTTCTCCTTCATGTTACTCAAGCTGAAAATGTGGGTTTCAATTCAGCTACTCTCCCTGCCCATATCCACAACATTTCCTTGGCTTGTAATGTAAGCCTTCAAAATTCACCCACAATCCAGGCTCTTACCACCACAGTCTGCCATCCTAGTCCATGTCATTGCTTGCCTGGACTCTTGCAGAAAGAAGTCTCCTGACTATTGTTCCTTGTGTCCCTATTCAKCCTGTTCCTCATAGAATAGTGTGCTCATGTCACATCTCTTCTCCCATCCCCTGAAAGTCCTTGTAGAGGCCTTAGGTTCTTGCACATCTGCCCATGCTGTCTTCATCCTGCAGCAGCTTCCTCTTCCTCCCCTCACTCAGTTTCACCCACACTGGCCTCTCCTGAAGATGCTCCTGGCATGCTGTGTCTCAGCACCTTTGCTGCCTAGAATTTCTCTCCCTTTCCCTCCCCCCACACACCTACAGGGATTCACTGTTTCACCTCCAGGTTCACCCAGGTGTCACCTTTTTGTGAGTCTTCTGACTAACTTGTTTTAAAATTGAAACTCCTCTATCTCTAAATACCCTGTTCCCTGCTTAATTTTTATACTGTTTATTTTCTAATCTTACTAGTATAGAGCAAAAGTTGTGTCTTGATAGTTTATATGTGTATGGTCTTTCCCCTSCACTGTAAGCTTCATGAGGCTGAGTTTTATTTTTGTCTTTTTTTTTAGGCTGAATTTTTTAAATCTCTTTTTTCATTGCTATAAATGCTTATGACTATTAGGATTATCCAATCATTGAACTATTTCGCACATAAAATTCATCTTATTTAAAAAATATAAAAATTGCTGTATTATTTAACTTATAAAGTTTTTTGAAGTGTAGAAATGCATAAAGTAAAAACAATAAATTCCCTTCCTTCCTTATTCCAACAGACTCCACTCTGCTCAAGTAGATAGTGCTAATAGTTTGATCTTTGTTTTCTAGATATTTTTCTAAATGAGTATAAAAATACATAAGCTGATCCCCCACAATGCATATATTCAAGACACTGGTAACATGTTTTCAGTGGCTTAACTTTTAAACTTAATAGTGTCTTTTGGACATTTTCCATATTAATGCATGTACATGTATTTGAATATATGTATAAATTATTATTTTTCTGTTTATTATTAGAGTATCTTCCTTCACATATGTAGTTTATTTAGTTTGTTCCCTATTAATAGAATATTTAGKTTTTTTCTAATTTTTCCCCAATTATRAGCAATAAGTTATTTACTTTTAATTTAAAGTGAATTTAAGTGCTTTATCACATTGGAAGAGAAATCTCCTAACTCCTGTTCAGGACAGAAACTTATGGTGGTTATGATTTTAAAGTAAATAATTTTCCTTTTTTGTAAAATTAGAACTCAGAGTGTTTAGTACCACATAAAAATATTAGAAACTACGTGATCTTGTATATGTTGCTGTCCTGATAAAAGAAAAATTATTTGATGTTTCCCTTTGGTTTTCTCTTTTAAACTCAACTCAGTCTTTACATCTGAAAAGTAGTTTTATTTCCATGGGGAATGTCARCCTGGCTATTAATAGAATAAATATTTAAAATAAACTCTGTTTTATTCTGTCCTATAAAATGTAACTTTAAGCCCRTGTTCTTGAAAACACAAAACAAAACCCACAACCCTTTCCTATCCTGCTGACAGGAGGCCCAAGGTAATGAYAGAATGGAGCTTTGCCAGGTCCTAAGGAAAACAATTTCTTCAACCAAGAGCTACTCAGAAAGTACCCACTCTCACCACACTTGGAACACATTTCAATACATGAGTATTAAAAGAAAAATGGATGGATAAATGAATTAGTAGAAGATCTTGGGCCAGATACATCACAACTAAATTTCTATGACAGATTAGGACCTAGTTTCTTGAAATCACTTCTCTCCATGGGACTACCAGCCACCGAAATGTTAGGGTTCCACCTTCCAATCACTTGAGGTTAGAAGACCATGGATTCTGAGTGTGATACCTGTTACTGTCAGCAAAGGCCTAAGAATAATTTGGCTCCTCCTTCCTATTGAAATATCTGAGGTGCTTTGTCATTTAATCAAAAACTGGGTTTTCTGCAGAAATGTGTTATGAAAGTAACTAAGATTCTGGCACCTATGAGATGAACTCTTCCCTTTTGTTTAAAACCTATAGCAATACTGTCCAATAAAAATATTGTGCAAGCCACTGATACAACTTTAAATTTTCTAGTAGCCACATTTAAAAAGTAAGAAGAAACAGGTGAAATTAATAATAAATATTTTAACTTAACTCAGTATATTCAAAATACTATCACATCAACATGTAATCAGTGTAAGAATCCTAAAATATTTTACATTCTTTTTTCTACTACAAGTGTTCAAAATCTGATGTGCATTTATAGTGTACATATCTCATCTTGGATGTTAAATTTCATCAGAAATACTCAATCTAATCTGATTTCATAACATTTTAGTTGTAAAAGTAGATTCATAAATGCAAGCTACTCTGAACATAATTAGAAGGTTTTAAATAATCAGTTGAGGRGCTGGGGCTATAGTTCAGTGGTAAAGTGCTTGCCTCAAATGTGTGAGGCACTGGGTTCGATCCTCAGCACCACATAAAAATAAATATAATGTATGTTTATCTACAACTAAATAAATGTTTTTTAAAAAATAATCAGTTGAGTTTTTAAATGTAAATTTGAGTTTCAAATTTTTAAATAAGTAAAATTAAAAAAAWTATTTCCTCAGTCACACTGGCCTAACATTTCAAGTGCAAAGTAGCCATAGTTAGCTGGACACAGTGGCACACACCTGTAATCCCAGAGGCTTGGGAGGGTAAGGCAGAAGGATCACGATTTCAAAGCCAGCCTCAGCAAAAGTGAGGTACTGAGCAACTCAGTGAGACCCTGTCTCTAAGTAAAATACAAAATAGTGCTGGGGATGTGGCTCAGTGATCAAGTGCCCCTGAGTTCAATCCCCATTAACTGTCCCCCCCGCCTCAAAAAAAGTAGCCATAGTTAGTGAATGRTTATGCTTTTAGTCCTCATACAGTGTCCTTAAAGGGGGTATGTTCCTCTCTAAYGTGACAGCCTTCTCATTGATAACTTGACAGCCTACCCATCCATATTCATGTTACTAATACTGTATTTCTGTATCCAACATACTAGTTTCTCTATATATTAATAGTATGCTATAATAATGCTTTATTTTTTATGAATGCAATTCTATGCTGTCTCCCTTTTCTTGTATGTCTATCACTAATTCAGTTTTTATAATAATAGAAATTTTTAAGTTCTTAAGTTTTATTGTATTTTATTTAAGTATGTTTTTATTTTTCAGTTTTGCTAGCATCAAAATGTATAATCTTATAAATTCCTGGGAGAACTAGATAAAGATATTTTTATACACTTTAAGAGATATTGATTTTAGTGCTTGACTCAGATGTCTAATTCTTGATTGGTAGAGATACCACCCACTTGGAGATTGAACCCTTCACTCTTCTCGGCGTTTGTGCTGGCCTGATCCCATATCCTCATCATAACCAGTCCCCAAGAAACACCTATCAGTGTGCCATGGGGAAACAAGCCATGGGTAAGATATCTTTCTCAAGCTTGATTTTAAATACTTGCAGAAAAGACTTACATTTTTATTCTTCACTAGTAGCATGTATTTGGTTCTATCAGACATTGGTGATGCCTGAAAGTTGCCTGTGGAACTTGCAGTGCTTGCAGGAGCCCTGTCCTGATTAAAACTTAAAACAGAAATTCAGAAAATYGCTCTGAACTTGTTCCCTTAACAGAGTGACATATAATAAATATCACAGAATTAAAAGCAAGTAAATATGAAGAGCAAAGTTCTACAAAATGTAAATTGTTAACTCAGAGAAATGGGAGAAAGCAAAAAAAAAACTCGAGGTGAAGGGAGGAGGCAGAGAGAAAATAAAGATGCAAATTATGTGCTAGAATCTAACTAGGATTTGTCTAGGTGATAATCATTAAACTCATTATATCCTTGTAGTTGCTTCTGCATCTCCTAAAACTATCACACCTAATCTGAGTTCATTTTCCTTCTTTATATTTTTCTTTCTTTTCATCTCTCTGTGTACTAATTTATCTATCAGTCCATCCATTCATCATCCAACCATTCATCACATTTGTTGAGCAAGCCTATACCATATAAGGGTATAACCTGAAAACAGATGAGACAGAGTCCTGTGCCTAAGGAGATCCCAGCCTAGTAGGAGAGACCAAACCAACAAAACAGTAATTCAGTGTAGTTCAGTGAATGTTTAATAAATCAGCAGCCAGAGCCTAAAGAAATTAGAGGAGGAAAATAGAGCTGAGCTTGGCCTTGAAAGAGTGTYTTTCAAGGGTAGTGGAAATGTAAGCATTTCAGTGGGAAGTCTTGGTACTTTAGTGTGACCATCTGATATTGAATGGAAGAAGTGTGTTTGAGAAGTACCATATATTGAGTTTATGTTTTGTCTTGAAGATGATACAGAGAGAATTCCAATGCCTGCCCCGCCACACCAAAAAAAAAAAAACAAGTTTTGCTTATAAACTTTTGAAATGGTTTTTTAAAATCATTTAAAACATAGTAAATTTTCTATAGATATATGCCTATGACATAAATATGATTTGCCATTCTCTAATTTTAAGGGATGTAAGCAACTTCATGAAGAAGTTGTGAAAGTGTAGAGGGGAAGGTTTTTGCATTGCCTTTGGGGGTCAGTCAGTGCATTCAGCTTCTTGCTAACCGACAACCATCTGAGCTGACCATAATTTGATGATTAAGGAATCCTATTTCTTTATTATGAATAGAGAATAGACATATTACTTTTCAGTTTTTTATATTGCCCTTTGGCTATCTGGGAAGAAATAAAAGCATGTTGCTCTGCTACCATTTACCTGAAYGATATAAGGCTTGGACAGTTGGGAATAATTCCCAGTGGGAAAATCTAAACAGCAGCTCATCAGTTTTGCCTTCCCATTCATCCTCAGTGGCAGTGGAGGCTGAGGTCCTGCTTGTGCCTCTGACTCACTAACAAGTTGAAATATACAGTGCTGAACCCTGTGTGTCATGAAAGGGCTATCACTTCTATTGGGTTTACTAAACCATTTTGTTTCATGATGTGAATCCCGGCTGAAACAATATACCTTTTGTGTAGAACCTTCAGTAGAATTAAGGGAAGACTAATCACTTCATCGCTAATGCCACTCTTTATGTGTTTGAAGATTAAAACCAAAGAGCTACATCTATCTCCACTTAGTGAAGCTTTTTTAAAAATAAAGAATAGGCATAAAGGAAAGAAATAATATTTTTATTTTTGTAACACCACTCTCTACAAATAAAACAAAAACATAAAAACAACCTTTTATTTTGTGGCCCTGAGTATCTGAAGCTTTGGGTTAGTTACCACACACAGTTAAGCAGGATCAGTGTGTACAGAAAGCCAATTCAGTGTCTGTAGAGTTCTTTTGTAGTTTTCTGTGTGAAGGTTTTTTTCCTCGTTTTGTTTTGAGTGTCATTTGCAATTCATTGTCTGTGTTTTCTGAGGTTGGTGTATTCAGCTGCTCTGACCCTGGGTCCTGCACATTTAGCTCCTTGGATACAATCCTCTGACGTTACTGCTGACGCTAGGAAGACAAAAGCCACTGAATATCTTAAGTAATAAAAAAAAAAAAAAGCCTTTGTTACTATTTGTTATTACAAAACACCTGACTGGAAAGAAAAGCATTGAGATTAAAGTACATTTAAAGTTAGCACATAACATGGCCACATATCTCTTTGGACACTGAAATAGCTGCAGAAGTATTGAGCAAGGTCTATATGAAAAATCACAAAAGGAAAAGGTCAGTAGAGGGAGAAAATCCACAGCCGAGTTCCGGGTTTAAAAAGCAGACCTTCGCTTTTGAGTGGACTTCTGGATCATTTTAATTCCATGCAGTCTTGGCAGCTGATAACTAAAAATCATGTTCTCCCATTTTAAATAGGAGCCATCAATGAAGACTGTTTAAATCTCACAGAGATTCTATGTAAATTTTCTTAAGTAATATTTTAGTTGCTGTTTATCTGTTACTCTATATGGAAAGTGAAAGACTAGTCCAGGGTTGATTCACTAAATATTCTACCCAACCTGAAAAATTTGCTGTTTACCAACTCCTGTCCCTTTAAAATACCAACCTTCCAGTCCCATCAACAGTGTGAGGAAAGAAGTCATTTTCCATCACTGCAAAGGAGACCAACACTAGCACAAAACGGAGAAACTGAAAGCCTTACCTCATACATTGGAGAGATCTATTCCACATGAAACACCAGCAGAGGGGGTTTCTTAGGTCTTTGGTACTTCAAGTTATTAATAAGTTCAAGTTTTCACGCAGCATCTGTCTGTGCTGCTGAGAAGCTCCCTTCTTTCATGGATATGGCTCTGTGTTGTGACATGGCTCAGAGCAAGAAGTCAGGTAGACATCTGCAAATGGCAAGGTCTCCAGGTCACTCAGCTCTAGGAGCAAAAGCTCAGTGTTGGTGCTGCATTATGTAGAGTCTTGGTGGCACTCAGTGCTAAGTTCACATGAGTCACACTTTCATATCCTGCCCATTTTATTAGTTGGCAGTCCTCTAGTGAAACACTGTCCTGTTGAAAAGGATCACTCAGTCACTATCAGCTTAGTTAATGAATATGCATCACCGCCCTCCCTAGCCCCTCCGCAGCTTCTCACCAACCCTTCCTGCTTCAACTCCCAGTTGTTAGGACTTGTCTTTTTTTTTTTTTTTAAACTCAGGAACTAATGCAGACTCTTTTTGTTTTCAATAGATTCTGTTTCTAAGCAAATAGTTTCTTCCCTTATGTTCCTCACTTAAGGGTAGGAATGGGATGTACTAGAAAGATGCTGGAAATTTTTGAAATATTCAAAACACATGACACACAAAGATCCTCACAAATTTTGTTTCCTTCTATACCTTTCCCTACTCTTGGGATGTTCTTTGTTTTTTTAGCTATATTTATTATTTTTTGGGGTGCACAAAATGAAAAAAAATAGTCTTGGCCAAAGTATTCGTGACAGTTCTTTTTTTTAGAGTTCTGCTATTAAAGTATTTTAAAAAATTATTGTAGCTGTTTTCGATACAAGCTTATGTAGTGTTCCTAAGACTAGAAATGTTGTCAATGAGTATGTTTGAAGATAAAATTAAAGTTTAGTATGTAGGTTAGATTTGGAGGTAGAGAAGGTGATATTGCAAGGTGATGGACTATATGTTTTTATCATTACTGTACTACCAGGTATTGTTATTGTTTATAATGAATATTACCACTTACTGACTATCCCAATTTGGGTGGTGCTGGAGACTGAACTTAGGGCCTTGCCCATGCTAAGCATGTGCTGTACTACAGAGCTACACCCCAGCCCTCCAAAATTCTTGTATATATTTGTTTTTTTAAACACAACATAATCCTGTGAGAAATAATATATGCTTTTTTTTTTTTTGGCAAGGATGCCGTATCCCAGTATGGTTGAACAACTAATAAGAGGTTATATTATGTCTTCTATTAACTTAATGAAATTTTTCTCAACTAAAACTAACTTTTTTCCTCACTTCTTCCTAACCTCCATGGGTCACAGTTAGGCTGCCTTTCTGCTGGACTGCAAATTCTAAGCTCCTTGAAGGCAGGAATGGTCCTTGTTTATTATTGTATCCTTGAGCCTAGCATAATGCCAGCTTAGTAGGTGGTATGGTAAGAACCGAATAAATGTTCCAAAATCAGTGAATTCTTGGAGCATATAAAAAATTGTTAAGAAACCAGCAACAGATTTTCTAGATAATTTTGAAACAGAACACATTGAAAGAATTAAACAACCTGATTTTGACTAACTGTAAAGCTATTATAATAAAGATACTATGGAATTGACAGACAGGCAGATATATAGGTGAATGGAACAGAATTATATATTAGAGTCCAAGAATAGATCCACACTTTTAAGGGCAATTGATGTTCAATGAATGTATTTCCAAAGTATTTCATTAAGCAAAGAAAAATGCTTTGAACAAAGTAAAATCTCTGACTATCAATGTGAGAAAAAGAATGAATGTCAATTTCAATCTCATACTATATAAAAATTAACACAAAATGAACCATAGCCTTAACTGTAGGAGTTAAAACCATAAAACTTTAAAGACTGAAACAGTTGAAAATCTTTAGTAAGTTTTGACTTGAGTTAAGTTTTCTTAGGACATAAAAAAATACAAATCRTAAGAAAAATTAATTACTCGGACCTTCTCAAAATTAAACCTTTGCTCTCTGAAAGACAGGAATACAAATATGCAAGCCACAGTTTAGGAGAACGTATTTGTATCTAGCATGCATATATAATATATATAAACTCTTCAGTAAGAAGACAACTTAGTAAAAAGATAGGTAAAGCAAAACCACAACCAGGCACTTTTCAAAGCAATAGGAATCACCTATAATCATGTGTGCCTATGTTTAACATTATTAGTTGTCAGGTAAATACAAATAAAACTATGAGATACTATTGTACAAATGTTAGAATTATCAAAGTTAAAAAGACCAGCATGCTAAGTGCTGGTGTGAGGGTGCACAGAAGCTCCTCAGAGGGCTCATACTCTGCTGATGGGATGGAAAGAAATGTAACAAATCTGGAAAATTCTTGGATAGTTTCTTAAAAGTTAATCATTCTGTTACCAAACAACCCAGAAAGTACTACTCCTAGATATTTATCCAAAGAAATTAAAATACACAATCTTGTACATGAATGTGTCTTGTAGCGTTTATTCATACAGCAGAATAGTGCTCATCAATCAAAAGGAATGAAAAATGTATGAATCAGAATTGTGCCAAGTGGAACAAGCAGTTATAAGAGCATATATATGGTTCCATTTATATAAAACCATAGAAAATGCAAACTAATCTCTAATGATAAAATATATCCATCTCTAGGGATGGATCTTGGTTGTGTTTGTGGTTTTACAAGGGTATATCTCTGTCAGAACTCATTCATTTTGATACTCTAAATGGATAAAGTATTTTGTATTTGATAATGATGAAGATTTTGGACAGAGGAAAAYGAAATAGTTACATGCATAAAATGACATTTTTTTCAATATTTGTATTCTAATTTGTTTACATTCTTACTAATCTTTTTCATCCCACTTTGGGGGAAAAAAAGCACTTTTTCCCTATTTTAACTTACTTTTTGTGGGGAACAGATACTGGGGATTAAACCTAGGAATGCTCTAATACTAAGGTCTCCAGACCTTTTTATTTTTACTTGAGACAGGGGCTTGCTGTGTTGCTTGGAGCCTTATTAAGTTGTTGAGGCTGGCCTTGAACTTGTGATCCTTCTGCCTCAGCCTCCTAAGTTGCTGTGCCCAGCTATACATTTATATACCCTGCTATGCCAGTTTGTAACTTAAGAAAGTTATTGTCAAGAAAATGAGGCTTTGTAAGAAATAGTATGTCTTRAGAAGTAAGAATAGGAAATTATTTGAGACTGTAGTTCCAGCAAAATGGGGCAATATAAGTAAAATACAGCTTATAGAGATATTCTCCTTGTGCTAGTTATATGTATATAACCTGCCCTCTCATGTGCCTTTTTTTTTTTTCCCCCTCTTATTCTCTTTATTTTTCTGCACTACTGGTTATCAAGCCTAGGGCCTTGTACATGCCAGGCYAATACTCTACCACATAGCCACATATCCAAGTCCCTGCAATACTGTTTTTAAGGAAACTGGAGACAGTAATAGGGGCGTCCTAGTTTGTGCAGGTGCTTCAGACAGGCAGGCCTTATGATTTAATTTCTTAGGGAAATTTTTCAAAAAATTTGCTTATTAGCAAAATAGTCATCCATTCATAATTTTTATATAAATTATGGGGATCTGTTGGCATTTTAAAGTTTTATGATATAGAAATCACAGTTTATAAGTTACATTTTAACTTGCCCATACTGTTACTAAAAATGTATGTACATGGGTGCTCCCACAAGACAAGTTCTTTCAAAAGGTTTCGAAGAAAGATTTTTATGAGATCATAAACCCCGAATATGTGCTTAATGATTTTTGCTACTCCCCTATTCAATGATCAGCTGGAATGCCCGAAAATTATGTTCTGAGCCTGGTAGCATAATTTATAGCAGGATCCAGCCTCTTTCGCCATTGTGTAGAGGCAAAGCTTCCCTGCTGCATGATAATGCTTGTCTCAGGTTTCAGGAGACAGTTTGGCAGCCTGGTGGGACATTGCCTGAACCCTCATCTCAAGCTGAGTAAAGTACACAATTGGAGCTGAAATCTCAACATAAATTTTAAAATGATTTCATGGAAAAGGACACATTTATTGTCAGTGAACTTTACCATGATCCTGGTGGCATTCTTATTTCTAGAACAGTACATGATCTGTTGCCAGGTGTCCTGCCCAGGTTATTAGTTGGCACTAAAATAACATAAATTAATTGGCAGTTTGCAGTGCAAGTTCACAAGGTCCAGTTGGACTGTTGTTTTCAGCYGAACTTTGATAAATTTTCTAGAGATTTAAACACAGATACATCCTGTCATAAAAAATGTAGTATGATTCTTCTACTTAATTCACTTGACATTTATTGAACATCTTCAGTGAGCTTGGCACTGTACTAGGAGAATTTCTTTGATACACTCTACAGATTTTATTTCTCTCAGTAGTGATTGTCAAGGAGTACCATATATCATATTTGCTGTTTGAATGGTTTATTTGCAGCCCTGAATTGAGATGATCATTGATTTAAAGACATGAATATGGAGAAGTTAAAGGAAATAAATATTAAGCTTCTGTATCTGCTTGCCTAAGTAGCATAGATTCATGAAATGGCACATAGGTACCACAGGGCATGGGGCAGGGGGTGTTACTTTGGAGGCATGTACAAGAGAGAGACAAAACTGCTGTCTTTCTCCTAATGTTAGCATCTATTCTTAACTTCTCGGCCACTCATTGGGGAATAGAGAGCTATGAAAGAGAGATTAAAGAGKCTCAGTAGCCCATACACAACTTCAATAGTGGGACAGACCTGGTCCCCAATTTTAAGGTCTCTATGTAGGGTCAACATAAGCCCAAGGCACTGAAAGACTTCTCTTCATGAAGACTATGAATCCCGGTGTATTTCTCGGAGAAAAAAGAGAAAGGGCTAACATTCTGATTTTATTTTCAGTTAACAGTGACCCAGCAACACCCTTCTCAGGACCAATCAGGTAGAAAGTCTGATTGCTAAGAGTAAAGAGCCATCAGAGACCCCAGATCCCTCAAGATCAGAGACCTTGCCTTTCCCCATTTATCTCCAGTGCTTGGCACAGAGTAGATATGCATTAACTGCTTAATAAGTGAATAGTTACTTAGATGAATAAATGCACTCTTCCCTGTCTTTAGTTGATTTCCTCTTTCTTCATTCATTCCTTCCGTCCTTTCCTGCGGTCTTTTTCATTTAGGACTTTTGTAGTTGTTGATTTATTTTTCTGAACTATATCTGTTTGTTGCCCTGTGCAAGCTCCTTCTGGTGAATAAACGATGTCCTTCTCCCATTACCCTTCCACAAGAGCCAAGAGCGTGAAATTGGCCAGTGAAGTCTAAAATTCCTCAAACAAGATCAATTTTGTAAATCTAAAATGTTGAAGTTGTTTAAATTAGTGTACCTCAAGTATGATGTTTTCTTCTTTGTGGGATTTTAAATATTAGTGAGAAAGACTGCTTTTAAGAGGGATTAGCTACCATGAGTAAATTGCTTTTAAAATATTTGACCTGAAGATTTTCTTCTTTTTAATTAGCAAAGTTAATGTGTTTATCTATATTCATTGCTACCTAATCATGTTACATAATAGAATATTGCACTTTGATTTCTCCATGATCAATGCAGGTACCATTGGATACAACCAGAGAAATAGGATTGATACTCTCATGTATCTGCTAGCATATCCACAAAAGCCCATGGTTAAAACAAAAACCATTGAGCTGATAGAATTTGAGAAATTGCCTGCAGGACAGAATGCGACGGTTGCTGTGATGAGTTACAGTGGTTACGATATCGAAGACGCTCTTGTTTTAAACAAGGCCTCCTTGGACCGAGGTGAGCATATTTTCAAGGCTCTAACACCAAAAGTACTTTTTGCAGAGTGAGATATAGGGGGTGATTTGTACAAAAATCACTTGGTGTCAAATGTCGGTTTCAAGTGACAGCATGTACACAGAGATATTCACATTCTAGTAGTGGCTTTTTGGTTGATTGTTTTTAATGACTGTTATGTTGAGATGATATGTTGAATGTATTGCTACAGAATCTTTTGTTTATTAAATATTTTATTTTCTTGGTGACTTGAGACAGTTTCTTAAAGAGAAAAAAAAAAGAATTTTTTTTTCCCCAGCAGGAATTACAATATATGAAGTAAGGTACCTGTTTGAGAAGCAGTAACAGTATTCAGATGAAAAAGGCTATTTTTTATTTATACCTCTGTTATACCTCTTTTTTTTTTTTTAACCAAATGACAACAGTTTAAAATACACATATACAAGCCCTAGCTTGTTGTTTCTGCACTCTTCTTTCTCTGTTTTGACAGTTCACTTTTGCAGGTCACCGCTTCATGGTGTGTTAGCCATCACCTGATCTGTAGCCTGACTTCTCTATTCATGATCTGTTTCTCTTTTTCCTCCCTGGCATACCCACTATGCCTTCCCCTTCCCTCTTTGTAGTTGCTAGGCAGCCCTAATAGTACTTCGAGACATGTGTCATTGGCATTAATGTTGGCTGCACTTAATTTATGCCTCTTTTTTTCCTCCAAATGACAACAGCCATGCTTTAAAACTAGATGTTTTCCTTTCTGATTAACTGGTTACGTTTATGTGGAAATCTGAAGACTTTGTGATGTCTGTCAAAAACTCCACAACACAATTTAATGATCTGAGTTTACTGTCCCCTAGCTTTTAAAGCTACCACCTGTAAACAAAACGTCTGTTGACACTTAGAAGAAAACGTTTCTCGATTCCATGCAGCTTGGATTCACACTGCAGTCCAGGGTCTTGCAGCTAATGGCTCTTGTATGACATTTCAAGATCACACAATGTTTGCAAGCCAGTTGATTCTGCACTGCTTTTATGTCAGTCACAGTTGACTAGGAGCCATGAGGACCAGAATTTGCTCAAAGACATACAGATGTCTACATTTTTGGTTGTATAAATGTATTTCATTCCATGGCACCTTTAGATCTTAAACATTACATAAGAGAGTGAGTGATATTTTATTTAGAAATCTGCTTTTACCTGATGGATTTTTTGAATTCACATTCTCAGATTTCTTGAAARAGTTCCACTTCTGGTGGAGAATCAAAAGTGAAGGCTTTTACAACCATGCATTTATTTCATTAGTAATAGCTGCCATTTAATCCTGAGACATTTTTCTATCCAAATGAACCCTGACATGGCTCATTGTATCCTGAGGAGATTAGAGAGGGAATTCAGTTTAAAATAACTTGTTGGCCACAGGAGAAAAAAGAATGAAGCTCAGCCACAGAATCTTGGAAATGATATTTAGTGTTGAAAGAATGACAGCTTTTTGGGGGGTAACTCTGCAACTAGTTTTTTGGGGGGTACAGGGGGACTCTCAGTTGATTGTGTTTTTTTTTAACCCCCAAATGGTTTTCTTCTATCTGTTTTGCTTATTTTTTATATGTTAGTCTTAAGGCTTTTCCCTCATCTTCTAGACAAATAAAATCTAAAAATGTAATTCAATTAAATTGATTTTCATGGAAGAGATAAACTATCCTATTAAAATTATTTGATTGTATCTTTTTATTTTCTCTCTTCTCTGGAGAAAAAATATTATTTTGTTTGTTGGTTTATTTGTTTGCTTGTTTGGAACTATCTGTAAGTTAGTAAAAGGAAAACTTGTCAGGGACTTACAGAAATTATGCACCGAAAGAATGGGTACTAAGAATCCTGGCTTAGAAGTTAGTGGACTTGGTCTATTCCCAGCTCTGCTACCAATTTTCTGGGTAACTATGGCTCCTTAATTTCTGTAGACCTCACTCATAATGCCTGTAAAAGAAAGGAATTAAACCATGTGGTTTCTCAGAACTTTTTCGGCTGTAATATTCTGAGGCTCCAGGCTTGGCGAGAATCACAGTGTCAATTCGGTTTCTCAACGGTAGAGTGCACACTTAGCACATTCGAGGCCCTGGGTTCGATCCTCAGCACCACATAAAGATAAATAAAATAAAGTATAAAAAATTATTTAAAAAAAAAATTAGATCTCTCTACTTTCCTCCAGTGTGGCCAGGTGGATTCCACACTGGAAGTGGTTGTAGATTCCATGTTTGTGTGACAGTGACTAGGAGGAGTCCCAAGATGTTTCTTCTAGTTATAATTGCTATTTGGTTTGTGCCAGTCCCAAATTATCCATTGGTATAGTAGTTTTAGGTTTTTGGGGGAGGGTAAGGCAGAGTGGATCAGTGAATGGCACAAATCCATTTTTCTCATAGTTTCGTGTTACTGGTGGTTTTGATTCGTTTTGGTTTCATTTTAGGCTTTGGACGGTGCCTGGTATATAAAAATGCCAAGTGTACATTGAAACGGTACACCAATCAAACTTTTGATAAAGTGATGGGGCCCATGTTGGATGCTGCTACAAGGAAACCTATCTGGCGACATGAGATTTTAGATGCAGATGGTATCTGTTCTCCAGGTAAAAGTCTTTTAAAAACGTAATTTTAATGTATGCTTTTTAAAATTACAAGTTATTCACAGTATTTCTGAATATTTGATAAACAGGGCAGAGAAAAAATAACATCCTATATTACTACTATTGTCCAGACTCAGCCAGTATGGTCATTTTGGATGAATTTCTGTCCATTTGATTTTTTTATGCATCATGTTTTTACATAGCAATAATCTATCCTAATTATAATTTTCTATTTTAATTTTGAATTATAGAAAAGCTACTTTAAGGTCTGGGGATGTGGCTCAAGCGGTAGCATGCTGGTCGTCTGGCATGCGAGCGGCCCGGGTTCGATCCTCAGCACCACATACAAACAAAGATGTTGTGTCCGCCAAGAATAAAAAARTAAATAAATAAATATTAAAATTAAAAAAAAAAGAAAAGAAAAGCTAATTTAAGAAATGTTTAGGAAAGGGTCTTGTTCCTGCACCTGCACTGGTATTTCTTTACTTAGGCACTTTTCCTACAGACTAACTTTAGAATCTCTTTTCCCTAAAAGTATAACTCCATTATAATTATAAGCTTCTGATCAATTTGTTGATGCAACATACAGTGCCTCCCTCTGGTGGGTCTTATAGGCTATTGTGGGAGACCATCATAGGTAAAGGATCACACAGAAACATGTCAAATTATAACCAACTTAAAGAATCACATGGTATTTTATAGCAAGAGGATTTTACTTGATTAGGAAGATCAGCATCCCTTCCACAAGAAGGTGAGCGGAAATTGGAAAGACGCATAAAAGTTAACTACTTAAGAAGGCTCTAGGCAGTAGGAAAAGCTTGTGCAAATGTCCTAGAGCTTGAAGCTGAGGGATCTGGAAGAAAAGCACTGTGACTAAGAGAAAAAGAGTGCATGGGTGCATGCACTGTGGCAACATGAGTCTGGGGGTGGTGGGGAGGATGGGGCCAGCCTAGCCAAGACCTGGCAGCCTTGTGGCTACTTTCATTGTGATCCCCAAAGCAATGGCAGGATTGGGTGTTCTGAAATGATCATTCTGACTGCAGTGTGGAGAAAAGATGAGAAGGACACAGAGTAGAGGAGAGACCAACTGAGCGCTCTCTCAGCACACAGGGAACCACCTGCACAGCTTGTCGTGCTTGGTCACTGGGTGGTCAGTGCTGTATTAGGCCAAGTGCATGGCTCCCTGTCATTTTCTCTGCCTTTGATTCATGCAGAATTTCTCACACTCTTAATGCTGGTCATTGTGGCTTGGAAAGTGAGTGGTGGGACAGGACTGTAAACGGTCTTTGAACTCACCATGAAGAAGCAGAAAGTGAAATGGGAATAGTAGCAAAACCAAAGAAACTTGATTTCCTTCCTACCCAAGTTGATGACTTGCTACTGATGGAAAAAACAATTGTATATATCTCTTTAAAGTACCTGTTTCTACTACAGTTGTTTTTGACTGAGGTGACAGTTTATCTTATTAGTATAGTCCTTAAATCAATTAATTTTTAAATTTTATTCACACTATGATCTTAATCTGTGTGTGTGTGTGTGTGTGTGTGTGTGTGTGTGTGTATTTTTGTTTAATGGCTTACAAAATCACACAAGAACCTTCTTGAATTCTAGTTCCCACTGTGTGGATCCATTTCTTTCTTCGTTATATGGGTTTCTTGGGCCAAGTCTAACCACATAATTTTATAATGTTCTAGCAATCTTTGCATTCTACACAGATGATAATGATATGTCTAACATTCTTTTCCCTTTCTTAGGTGAGAAAGTAGAAAACAAACAAGTGCTTGTAAACAAGTCCATGCCCACAGTGACTCAGATTCCTTTGGAAGGAAGTAATGTGCCACAGCAACCACAGTACAAAGACGTGCCCATAACGTAGGTATTGGTTGTGCCTTGGTAAGACAGAAAGGCTGGCAAAAGAGAAGGGATGGGTAAATATGAACTAGGTATTGGCAGGCAGGTTATCTTGAAAGCAGGTGGGCATGGAAGATAAAATTGGGCTGTGGAATCATAGAGGCCTATTACCTGGTGTGAGTTTCTGAACCAAACAGACAAGGGTTCCCTGTGGAAGGAGCAGTAAGATAAAGGGCACAATATGTCAAAGTACCCAGGTTTTGGTGGATCAGCAGCTTGCTGCTTCCAGGAAGTGGAAGAATTGGGAATCATAATTAGAGGGTGTTACCATCCACTTTGTGTTTTAAAAACAAATAGCCTATACTGGCCACAGCATGGCATCACCAGTGTACTTGAGTATAGTCTGGTTCAAAGATTGGTTGTGTTGATAAAGGGTTAAAATTCCATCAACTTTAGTTTTCTCATCTATATAGTGAAAGAACTAGAATTGTTCATCTCTAGATTCCCTCTCAGCTCTAAAATATAAGAAAATATGAAACTTTCTGAGAAGTGAGGGGCATCACACTGATAGAGAAACCAAGCTAGGAGAGAGGATGAGCAGTCTCACCCAGGGCAGGTGGACCAGGCCATGTTCAGCAGGTGGGAAGTAGGTGACATGGGAGAACAGGGTTCCTAAACTGGGCATAGTGGGTTTCCAAACACACTTTACACATACGTGCCAAGGCCTGCTGTGTGCTAGGGACCATGTGCATGTGCCGAGGATATAGGACTGACATAAGCTATGGCCTTGCCTGTCTATAGGGAGTCGTGGAAGAGACCTCCACACAGAAGAAATGCAGTTACTACTGTGAACCTCGTCACTTCCTTGAGAATTTCCTGTACCAGTAGCTTTTCTGGCCATTTTACATGTATTAGTTCAGTTAATCCTACCACCACCCCTTGAGCCATGTTATCTTAAAAGCTCATTAGATATRAAAATGGAGGCAAGGAGATACAGTTTGGTGACTTCCCAACGTYACACATCTACAAGTGGCAGAGGCAGGATTTAAACTGTCGGACTCCCCTATGCACACTGTGCTTAGTGTAGCAGAGTGGGGCAGGTGCTATGGACTTGTCTGTGGGGTGGCCACACAAGGGACAGAATGGGCAGTTCATTTGGGGGGCAGGGTGTGAACACTAGCTCAGCCCCACAAAGCAAAAGCTGTTCAAGCTGTCCAGGTGATTATGCTCAGTGGCTCTCTTCTGTTCTGAAGGAGGAAYCTCTTTCTATTCAAAGCCCATCTCTCTTCCGCCCAGGTCCTTAATTTCTTCTACTCTTTTCAGAGCTCTTATTCTGTCCTTTTGGCTTTTTCCTCCCATACTTTTTAAGCCTGTTTTCTATTGATTTCTTCCTAACAGGCTAGAAAGTGTGGTCAAGTACTTCTTATCATTACAGGAAAATAATAGCTTTTTCTGGAGTTTGGGTTCCTTTCTAGCTACCATTCTGTTGTTTTTTTCCTCTCACAACTGAGCTTCTTTGAAAAGTCATCTCCATTGCTATCTCCGGACCAGCCTGCTGCCTCTTCATCCCACTGAAACAGCTGCAGAAGGGGTCAAAGATGTACTGTCACCAGAGATCTCCTATTCACTCAGTTTATTCCAGAAGTATTGTGAGCACTAATAATATGTCAGAATGTATTCTAGGTGCATGGGATAGTGCATCGAGCAAAATCAACAGCAGTTCCTGCCCCTGTAGATCTCACACCTTGGGAAAGATGACAGATAGCAAAAAAGTGAGCAAAGCCCAGAGCTCCTCAGTTTACCAGGTTCTGTGGACTCCTCTGTCCAGTCTTGTGGTCTGAGGCTTTTTCTCTTGTTTATCTGGGACCCTCAGTGTGTGGCACAGTAACAAATGAATGCATGAATGGCATATGACCTTTCTATAGCTTTGGACATCAGTGACACCCCTCTCCCCTTGATTTTGTGATACCACCCTCACCTGACCTTCCTGCCTGCCTTGTTGGTGACCTCTTTCTACCCAGTACGTCTTGTGCCTTATCCAGATGTGCTTCCTACTTGCAGAAATTCAGCCCTCCATGCACACTTATTGATAACTCTCAGATGGAATCTGCACCACAGTGTTGGCTCCATACTAGTGCTTAGACATGTCAGGGACACCAAGCCTGGACCCAAAACATCTTTTTCCCCGTCCCTACCCCAACCCCAGACAGACTGCTCCACCTGGAGTCCCTGTCTCGGTGGTGATGGGCACCACCACCTAACCTGCCACCACAGCACAAACCTTACTCCTTCCTCTACCTGTCAGATGTGCACATCAGGAGCTTAGAGGTTCTGTCACACTCCTCCTCCTCCYAGCTATTGCCATTTCTGGCCCTCTGCTCCTGCCTGGACTGTCGGTTATCATTAACTATTCACCTGCCTCCCAGCTTGCACCTCTCCACCCCTCTTGTGCTCTGCATTAACCGCCTGAGTGATTTTCTAAATTACTTGCCTAGCTGTGCTACTATCTTGAGTAAATAGAGTATGGCTCTGAATGGCGCTGTTGCCTGTGGAAAATGTAGGACATCCATGATTGCCCATGGTCCTCAGCACCCTCCACACCCTCAGTGTGCCTTCATGCTGAATTCTAGGCCCCACATTCCTAGGAACTCACCTGTTACTGTCTAATACATACCATCCTTCTCCAGGCCTCCCATGTTTGCTCAGGATGCTCCCTCTGCCGGATGGTTCTCACCTGCAGGTCACCTCTTCTGTGGCAGTGCTCAACAAACAGCCCCTCCTGGTGTCTGCCACAGTCTTTTCTTCCTTAATTGGCAGGGAGCTCCTTTTGTGCAGGAACTGGGTTCACTCACAGATCCTGGGACACAGTATCTGTGTCCGGAACTTGCAAGGGTCTGACACTGAGAGACTTTTGATAATCTGTTGTATAATAAACAAGTATATGTGTGTAGAGGGGATTAATGTTGGGAAAGCTGAGTAGATAAAAGAACTGTTAAAAAAAATGGTTAAGAACTTGGAGTTGGGTCTGACAAGCTCCAGCTCAGGCCCAGTTCTACTCTGTGATGCGTGTGCCCTTGGACAAGTTACTTTAGCCTCCCTGAGCATCAGTTTTCCCCTTCTGTAATAAGGGATTAACAGTATGCCACTGTTGAGGATAAGTTACGCTGTGCCTGCCTCATAATAAGCATATAGGACTGTAAAGGGAAGTTGTGAAATTTGAATTTAATGTTAAAATTAAAAGTCACTTTTCAGAATCTACGCTGAGAATGTCAAATATTTTGTAGTAGGATTAAATAAAATATGTCATACGGGTGATAAATTTACAAAGGGCAATTTGAAAAAATTGCTTGAATGCCTTTCTCTTAACATTAGTTACAAAGGGGCAACAGATTCATACATTGAGAAGGTGATGATATCTTCCAATGCTGAAGACGCTTTTCTGATTAAAATGTTACTGAGACAGACAAGGCGACCAGAGATCGGAGACAAATTCAGCAGTCGTCATGGACAAAAAGGTGAATTTTGTCATTTCTTAATTTGTTACAAAACTGAATATATTGAAAAGTTTGTTATCCACATGTATTAGAAATATTTTTTAAACTTTGAAAAATTATTACATAATTATTGCTGTTTTATTTCTCAGATTTTTTTTTAGAGAGAGAGAGAGAGAGAGAATTTTTTAATATTTATTTTTTATTTAGTTCTCGTCGGACACAACATCTTTGTATGTGGTGCTGAGGATCGAACCCGGGCCGCACGCATGCCAGGCGAGCACACTACTGCTTGAGCCACATCCCCAGCCCAATATTTCTCAGATTTTAATGGCATTTAAAAATGTATGATAGAATTAGTCAGTATACATAGAGTTTAAGAGTGGAAAGTTGGTCCTGGGGTTTTAGCTGTACCTGACACTTAACTTTAAGAACAATAACAACAGTTAACACTTTCGTACCACACACTGCATGCCTGGCAGTGCTCCTTTACGTGTGTGTGCCTGGTAGTGCTCCTTTATGTGAATACTGACTCATTTGAGTCTTGCGCAGTCCTACAAACTCAGTAACATCTTTTTTTTTTACAGATTAAAAACAAACAAAACCCAGAAACCCAGAGAGATTAATAGGTTCCCTGGTGTCATATAATTTGTGGCAGATTTTGAATTTTTGATTTTGAACCCAGGCTGCTTGGATCYACAATCCAGCCTCTTAGCCAACTACCAGTCTGCCCTGACTGTTCAGCAGCCAGTGTTGTGCCTGCCTCATGATGAACACTGACTGTTACTTGAGGTGATGTCCTGTACTTCTAAATCTTGGTTCATCGTTGCTTATAAGTTAGTATAATACCTTCCTGTTTTTAATGGATCGGTTTGAAAGTAATTGCACATTATGGTCTTGCTGATTTTAACTTTATTTGCCAACCAAGTATATCAAATATTCCAGTTTGGTTAAATAAATCCAGCCTTAGTTGTCATTCTGCCAGTGAAACTATTTCAGACTAAGATACTCTTTCATCCAAAATGATTTTAGTTCCGTTGACAGAAGTAAGATTATTTTAGCTTATCAATATTTTTAAGAAAGAATTTGTTCCATCTGTTAATATGAATTTGACATCTCTAGTTCACATAATTTGCTGAGATACTCTGAACACCCTTGGAGTATTTTTTTTTAATTATTTTGAGGTTCTTGCATTTTCTTCTACTGGTTAATGAGAATGAATTCTCTATACTATAACTATTTCTCTTTTCTCTTGGTCTTAACAATTTCTGAAATGTTCTCCTAAGCCATTCTGAGGTAACCAGAGCTTGATTATAAACCCACTATCTGCAAGAGTTAAGTCTGATTTTTTTCTTACAAAATGTTGACACCGGAAGTTTTAGGAGAATGCATGCCATGAGAGAATACCTTCCTTCTGAATCAGTTTACAAGCTTCAGGTACCCCAAACTCTCAGTGTTTTTGTTACATTAGAGTATTGTGTGAAAAACTAAAGACTGGCAGGCACATCAGTAATTATCTGCTGGTCCTGATTCCACTGAATTTCCTGAAGGCATAGACAACGTCCTTCTATGTGATTTTTTTTTTTTTGAAGATCAATTCTGATAGAGCCTTTCTCATAGCAGCCACTTAATAGATAATTGATAATAGCTAAATATCTGAATAAAATGAGTGAATTGAAGATAGGGGAGGTGATGAGCAACAGATTTTTCATTTTCCTTAGCCTTTATCTACATAATATGTGAGTGCCCATGTATGTGCATAGATAGAGCAGTGCTATGAAATGAAAATTACCAGATGAGTGTAAACACAAACCTCTAGGTAAAACGTCAGAAAGTCTTTGTGCTATGGCATTTTTTTCAAACTTGAAGGTTTCTAACTTRTAGTGATCTAAAAGCAGATTTGAGAGGTTTGTTCACTCTTAGGGGGGCTCCGACTTACACATCTCCGTATGAAACCAAGAGAAGTCCCCCCAGGGGCGGTGACCTTTCACTTGTAGTGAGGTGTTTGTCTTGTTACTTTTGCATTTCCAGATGGCTTTTAATCCAAGGGTAAAAACCTCCTGATTACCCCAAATCCCCTGGATAGTTCCCTCTCTTACAGCTTCATCAGAGTTATTGAAAGGTTGGGGGAAAAAACAAATAGAAAAATAGGTAGTGTAAGCTTTAACAGGGTAATGRAAGGAATGACATAGGACTCTTCTTTTTTCTTTAAAAAAAAATTTTTTTTTTAGTTATAGTTGGGCACAATACCTTTATTTTATTTGTTTATTTTTACGTGGTTCTGAGGATCAAACCCAGCACCTCGCATATGCTAGGCAAGCGATCTACCACTGAGCCACAACCCCAGCCCTGACATAGGCCTCTTAACTGAATATAATAAATTTATTTTAAATATAATTTTATCAGATAAATGCACATGACTTTAAAAGTTCAAATTGTACCCCAAAAGGGGTTCTTTGCAAAGTACTAACAAATCAGTTCCAACCTCTCCCTCTAATTCAGTCTTTCAGAATCAATTTTCTTTTCATTTACTTTYGTATCTCTAAACAAATGAATGAATATGTATCTGCTTACTATATGTGTCTAATATGTCTTCAACACACAGATATGTTTAAGACGTACATTAAACAGACACATATCATTCATTCGTTTTAGGTGTTAACCTGTCGATTTTTATCATGCCGGATTAGGAGGACCCAGCACTTTGCTGGGTGAATTGAAGGTAGGGGAGGTGATAAGCAACAGATTGTTAATTTTCCTTGGCCTTTATCTACATAATATATGAGTGCCCATGTATGTGCATAGATAGAGCAGTGATATGAAATGAAAATTACCAGATGAGTGTACAAAGACCTCTAGTTAAAATGTCAGAAAGTCTTTGTGCTGTGGCTTTTTTTTTTTTTCAAACTTGAAGGTTTCTAACTTGTAGTGATCTGCCCTCTCAGCTTTCACTCTCTGCATAGGTTTATCACAGTTATTTAGATTGCATTATTATGGGCTACATAAATAGTGTTCATTCTCAAACTAAGTGATTGAGTGCATTTTCTTTATAGCATTTCTTTCTGAAGCTTATAAGTTTCTGCTTTTATATTTGCTTAATTTTCTTTATTCCCATTATCATTTTTCTAGACCATCAACAGCCTTTTTTTAATATTTATTTTTTAGTTGTAGTTGCACACAATTTCTTTATTTATTTTTATGTGGTGCTGAGGATCGAGCCCAGGTCCCCCACATGCGAGGTGAGCACTATACGCTGAGCCACAACCCCAGCCCCAGTCAACAGTCTTTTGATATAATTTCCACATCGTTAGTAGTCTGTTAGGATTTGTGTACTCCCCTCCTCCCAAAAGATTACCCATATGGAGCCTCCTTTCTTCCTGCTCTAAATTGTGGGAGTTGTTCTCTGAGCCAGAGCTCCTGGCACCTTTTAAGAACTGGCCAAGGGTCAGCTGGCAGGTTGGACCCTATAGTCCTCAGGACTGCTGAGCAGAGCCTAGGGTAACCAGGGCCAGGAACAGCCTTCTTCTCTTATTATGCCCTAGAACCATCCAATAAGCACTCTGCACTTGTTTGCTACTTTTCATGGAAAGTACTGAGATAATGATAGGTCCTGAGATGAAAGTAAATGAAAAATAGGGGAGGGGGTCAGAAGCATGTGGCAGGAAGAGCGTATGGTGGTTAATGGTTGAAAGTTTAGCTAAAGTGACTGGGAAGTAGTCCTGTTGTGAAAAGATGGGCTTGGAGTGAAGCACTGAGAGGAGTCAGGTTGCAGAACCTCCCTGGCTGAAGAGGGATCAAGCTCAAAGGAAGGCCCAGGAGTGGGGGAGGTTGAGAGGCTTGTGGGAAGCCAGTGGTGGCAGTTGGGCTCTGAAGGTTTTCCTGAAGAGCTGTGTGGTTTGGCGTGTGTGGTTCTAAAAATAAAGTTCGTTTCTTTTGACAAGTGGCTCCTGAATTATGCCCAGCCAGACTGCGGCATTTGGTGGCCCGTACCAGRAAAGAACCCGCAACCTTGGCGTTATCAGCACCAAGCTGAGTGTTAGAGGACTAGAGGAGAGGCCAGCGTGGCTACAGCAGAGCAAGTGAGCTGTCCTGAGTTGGAGATGAAGCCTTGTAAGTCACTGTGGGAACTTCAGCTTTTACTCTTGAGTGAGAGGGAAGCCCCTGGAAGAATTGGAGGAGAAAGAGGGGATCTGACTTCTGGCTATTGTATTGACAAGAGATTGTAGGGGGCCAGTACAGCAGTCAGAAAGCTATTGTTATAACTCAGGTGCATGCACGCATTCAAAGTGGAAAGCCTGACCTTACTGATGGATTGGTGGCTTTGAGTCAGACCTCCTATTTTACCTGACAGCTCACCTTATTCTCACAGTGCTTTGTTTGTCTGTGAGCCTTCCCAAGGGTTGGGTTGAGGGCTGAGTCAGCACTCTTCTTCATACCTCCTCTGCAGATACTTGGGTTTAGTTTTCTCCTTCTGTTTCCTCCGCAATTCTTCCCTTCATTCACCCACTTTCAAAGTTGTAGGATTATCTCATGTCCACTGATACCACTTTGCCCATTCTTTCTCATAGAGGTTATTTTAGACCTTAATTCTAACTCTGTAGTAAGGTTAGAGAGAGAAACACTTGTGTTCTATTATTTGGGAATATTCAACACACTCAAGAATGCTGAGTGTGCTCAATTTTTCTTTTTCTGTAGTTTACAGAAATGATGTTAAAATTATTTGAAGAAAAAGTGAGGAGGATTTTTAGAGCTGCCAAACTTTTGGCTTTCTGCAGTTTGGGCTCTTTGATTGATTGATTGATTGATGTGCTGGGGAATGAACCTGGTCCCTTGCCTGGCTCTGCAAGTACTCTTTGATTGAGTGACACCTCCAGCCTTCTTAATCATTTCCAAGATTGAGAATTAACTTTAAAATGTCTAAAACTCACATCCTAAGAATTACCAAATAAATGCTAACAATCATCCCAAGGGTATTGATCACATTTTTGTCAATTCTTAATTCTCTGAGAATAATGTATCTTTTG